TACCTACCTATTATTTTATGCTAATACTCTGCAGGTTTCTAGTGTGTTAACAGTTTTGTGTCAAAGTATTTCATGTGGAGAGTTACTGAAGCTTGACTTCCTAATTGAGACTTTCTAATTGTGTGCCAGATACCAATGGAGGCCTCCTATCAGAAGATACAGTCAAAAGGCGCAGGAAACAGAGAGTTAAATTTAGCAGCTTTGCAGCAGGGCTGGAGAGTTACATCATGTTGCTGTGGTAACTAACTTTCTGAAACCACAGTGATGTATGGTAAAGCTTTGGGTCAGTGGGTAATAAATTCTGTTTAAAAAGTGATTTTTTCCCCATCTGCTGATGTAAACATCATTAAGAGAAATGATGGCTGAGAGATGGATTTCTTTTTATATCAATTTTCAGACAAAGAAAATAATTTAAAAAAAAAAAAGTTGTTTGAAATCAGAGAGTGCTATAAATAAAAAGGCCGGTGATGGAGTGGAAATTTGCAGTGGTGATTGGTTTACAGCCTTCAGTAATTTGATGGTAACTCTCAGTTCCCTGTCTGAAGCTGCGAGATAGCCTTGGATTGCTCAGTGAGCATAGGGTGATGGCTTATCCCCCATGATTAGAAGAACCTCTTTTCCGGGAGATTGAATGTTTCTGGCTGGCCATGGAAAAAACCCTCTGAAGTGCTACTTAGGTAAATTTTTTTCCTCCCCTTCCTCTTCTCTTCAGTTTCTGTCCTCCATGTACCTTTCATTGTTCTACCCTTGCTCCTGCCTGACACATCATGCTGTCAAGAATTGCAGTCTGCCAGTCACCCTTACTGGCTTGAAACGGGAGCCAGTAGCATGGGTAGGTTGTTTGCCCAGACACATCCTCATTGGAATTGGGGACAAATGGGATCACTGAGTGAAATTCAACTTGGATGTAATTTGCTGAAGCAGAGGGGGGGATACAGGTGGCTTGTTCCCTTAAGGTTCTGTCCCCCAGTTGAATTGGGATTGGATCTGAAGGTCCCTAATTTGTGTTAGTTAAGCCTATTTTGAGGACTGTGCTTCCACAGCTAAACTAATACCATTAACTGAGCTACCTAGTTTCAAGATATTGTGGGCATGTCTATTCTCCACTACAGTGCAGACAAATCTACAGTCCTTTAGTGTGCTTCTGATGCAATGTCATCCTATCTGAAGAGCCATGATCAGACTGAATGGTATCGTGGCCAGAGCTCTGTACTGTTATGAGGCAGTCCTGGTACACTTGATTTGGCAGTGTGCAGAGGCTTGTTCCATGCCCTAAGCTCCTCTCCAGTACAGGCAGTCCTTGGACTCACGACACAATTGGTTCCTGAAAACGGCGTCTTAAGTCAAAACGTAACTTGGAACCGATTTTCCCATAGGAAAAAATGTTATAAATGGGGGATTGGTTCCTGAACCATGGCCTGATACTGTTTTCACCAAAAATAACCCAGAATTTTGTACTCAATTAATTATAGATGAGTAATATAGCTACATTAATGTATTTATATTGTAAATAGCAATCATATTGATTTGGAAAGACTTCTTTGAGGTGACTTTGCTGGACTCTTTGAAGGGCTCTTGGTTGGACTTTTTGAAGGGTTTTTGGCTGGAGTCCTCTGAGGAGCCTTGCCTACAGATTTTTCTGGAGTCTTGTCTGCTTTTTAAAAGAAAGTGTCCAAGGAAGTTTGGACAGATGTTCTCCAGGGAGATGGGTGACACAGCGACTTGTTCACTGGCACAGCATGGCATCGGATCAAGTATTGTAAAGTCAAAACTGATGTCTGAAAGTTGAAACAGGCTGTCAATTTAGAAATGCTGTAAGTGCAAAACATTGTAACTCGAAAGGTTGTAAGTAGAGGACTGCCTGTATGGGGCCAAAGCATGCACACCAAGGTAGTGGATTCCAGCCTTAATAATGTCATGAGGACCATCACTGGATGCCTTGTGCCAACTCCAGTTGACTGCTTACCAGTCCTTTCAGGCATTCTACCCCCTGACATCTGGAGACAAGTTGCCACCCTGGCCCTAGGTCTTAAAGACCAAGATCCAGACCATTTTCTGCACTATAGCCTAGTATATGTAAGTCAGAAAACCAACTACCACCTGAAGTCTTGGAACCCATTCTCTGCTCAGGCCAATAAACTCATTGAATCTGCAGATGGCATGACACCCACAGCCTGGACCTCCCGTCAGTGGAGCAGGCAATATGCTGCACAAGAACTGTGGCTAAAGAACTTCATCCCCAATGCCAGCTTCCACCCCCCAGGCTGGCAGCTGCCTCGCAGGGCCTGGACTGCTCTTAACCATCTCAAAACAGGTGTTGGATGGTTTAAGACAAGCATGTACTCTTGGGGTGTCTCCAGCCATGCTGGTTGCAGTTGTGGTGCTGCTCAAGCTCAGACAGACAACCACATCATCTGTGAATGCCCTAATGGCCTGGCCCTCCTTTGGGTGCCCTTGTCTTATTGACATTGACCGTTCTACCTGTCACTGGATTTCAGGCCCTCACCCAGCATATGAGTGTGGTAACACTCACTTCATCATCATCATTGTCATCATCATGATCATCATCTCCTCTAAAAAAAATGCCATGGAAAGGAAAGAGAGTGGAAAAGTGTCAGGGCAGGAGAATCCTAGCAAAATTCTGATGCTGCTGATGATACCACAACTATCTTGTCTTGCAGATTTTTGTTCCCAGATTATTTCCACATATTTGCACTTATTTTCTTTTTAAATAAATTGCCAGGAAGAATTGGATCCCTCATTCCTGGCCATTCTAATTGGGACTCAAATCCTTTTAAGTAGCTTTTGAAAATTTCAGCCTTAATCTCACACTTCCTGAGCTTCCAACCATCACACGTAAGATAGGAAAATATAAAGGACCTGAGATCTGCATGTCCTGGTACCTTGAGCAGCACAAAAACACACTGTATGATCATTGTAACAGTTTGCTCCTCAAATGGATGTGATAAGTCAGTGCCTACACGGTACAAGGGTAACACTTCTTATTATGAATACCTGAGCTACACATTGGGGAACTGACACAGAACACTGGAAGAGGAATCTGCTTTTGGAGTCTCTGTTTTGGGCTTGTGTAGCCTGATTCCCTTCCCAGATTGCCAAGTGATCAGTCTTTTACCTCTTGTCATCCTGTACGGTCTCAAACAAAGGAGCAGGGGTGCATTTATTACATAAATTAAGCACCACGCTACTCCAAGCCCAGTGAGAGTGAGCTACCGGGAGGGCACACAAAGGTGTCATCATGATTTATGGGGTAATTAATAAACAATTAAGGTGCTTTGGAGCATGGTTATACATTTTATTCCAGCCAGCCGCTCTGCACAGATTCAACTTTCATGTGATCCAGGATCCAGAGTAGGCCAAGCTGAGAAAGATGATGGTTTCAAGTCACAAAGCAATGGAGGCTTCCTGGCTTTAGTTTTATTGAGTCCTCTGGTGTACTGCCTAGGAGTTTCCTTGACACTGCAGGGACTCTACTCTGGCATCACATGTGGGGGAAGCCAGAAGAAACACCAGGATTGAAGCCTAAGGGGTGCATCTCTTTGTTTTGTTATTCCTTATCAGGCTGTTAAATGAATGGAGTGAGCATTCCTCAGACTGAATGAGTAGGCATCATGTTGACTGTGGTTGTGAAGCGTCTCTTCTTACGCTTCTTTTCAGACCATAGCTGCAATGTCCCCTGAAACTCAGTCCTGCAGGTTTTTTGGTTTTTTTTACAAAAGCTCTGACTGGTGTGTAACACCCTTTTCTCTTAGTCTAGCTCCATGATGCCAATTCTCATAATTCACCTGTGATTCTGACTGCCCAGGCTCACCCACTCTTATCCTTTTTCCTGAGTGGATTCTCCCAGTCATGTTATACATTTGAGGGGTGTTACCCAAATCTCTTGAACCAAGCAGTTTCCTATTCACTGCAAAGACCAAGAGCTTTGTGTTGCTGTAAGCAAGGGCAGTTTAGGTTAGATAGTAGGAAAAACTTGCTCACCCAGAGGGTGAGAGTAAACACTGGAACAGGTTCCCCAGATCGGTGGTGGACTCTCTATCCTTGGAGATTTTTCAGACCTGGCTAGACAAAGCCTTGGATGGGATGTTCTAGCTGGGGATGGTCTTGCTGTGAGCAGGAGGTTGGACCAGATATGACCTCCTGAGGTCCTTTCAAACCCTCAGTTTCTATAATGTTATGATTCTATGATTTCAGAATGGAAAAAAGACATTTTTTTTTTTAAATTTCTGTGGGGAAAAAATTGGAACATTTTGTTTGGATTTCTGACTTTTTTTTAAGGCAAAATAAAAGATATCTCTAGAGTGGAAGATTGTTGTTTTTTTATTTTGTTTTGTTTTTTTAAAATGCAATCAAAGCCTTTATTGAAGAAATGCTGAAATGGACTGATTTGGTAGTATCAAAGCACCTTGGGATATTTTTCAAGACACATTTTTCCAATTCAAATTCATTGAATTTGTAGCACATTCTATGAAAAAGCTCACTTGCAGCAAATCAATATTTTCTACTGAAAAATTGTTCCACTGGAAAATTCCCAACCAGCTCTACTAATGTAAGCTGAGTTGTCTCTTTTTGTATTAATGTCTAATGACAGAATACTTGTATCTTATGCTTCATTTGAGCCCCCTACCTGGATGTTGGCACATTAACTCCTCAGTGCTATGTTCCTGCCATTTTGAAGTCAGTGGCAAAGCTGCCATTGACTTGAGCAGGACAAGATCAGACTCTTGCTTATGAATAGACTTATCCCTATTTTTTGCAGTAACAATGACACTGGACTAGTTTTATAACAAATGTATAGCTCTGTGGGAAACACAGAAAGATGCAAATCCAGGGAAAGGATAAATCCATCAGATTGGGGTAGTACAGGTATATTCTTAACCTCTGATAGGATAAAATATTGTTAGATCTTCCTGGGAATGAGGAGGTACAATAACACTATTCTTTTCTGACTTTTCTTTTTGGGTTTTGTAGAGAAACAGGATCCATGACTGAGAGAGTAAGGCCTAGGGTTGGGAAGATGAAGACAGTGGATCTCTCCTGCCTGTGGAAATCTCCTGCCTAACTTAATTCAGGCTCACTCTTTATCCCAAAATTGGAATAGTAAGTATGTTATTTAGTATTTTGTATCTGCTGTCAAGGATTCTTGTTTGACACGTTTCAGTCATTCATACTGGGAGAAGACATAATACCGATGACATAGCTGACTCTTCATTGACACAAATGACAAATATAATGACTTGTTGAAGCTCTGGATTTGCTAATACTTAAAAAAAAAAAAAAAGATAATCATTTACTAAAAATAAGCTTATGAGGAAGGAAAGATACTCACAAAAATGTGATTCAGTTTTACCCAGCCCAAATCCAGAGTATGGTCCCCAAAGGTCTCTGAGGTGCTGTCTAGGTACCCAGTCATCAGTACAAGAAATAAAGCTGTGAGGCTGAGTTGTACCTTCCCCTTCTGTCACTTGACCTGTCTGACAGTAAGGATTTCATGGCTTCTTTCTTTCCCTTGTTTGATTTGAGCCCCTCTGTAGCTGTGTGTTAAAGGCTTGAGTAAATCAAGAAGAAAGAGTCAACAGATTTCACAGCTCTGGCACAGCAAAGATGAAGAATTTCACACACTGTCATAGATTAAAAGAAACAATAAAAAGATTGAAGCTGACTGGTCAGCTTTAAAAGTAACAGCAATAAAAAACAAAAGAACAGGCTGCAGCACATGATAGCAAGAAATGTCCTCTCGAAGACCAGCACACATTCTATGAGTACATCCAAAATACCTTACTGTCATCTCGAAATATTGACATCTACTTAAGGATCTCATACCATCTCCAGGCTTGATAATGGAGCCTCTTTACTGGAGGTACTATGCAATGCTATCAACATTATATCACTCATCAATATAGATTCCTTTAAGGATCTAAAACCCTACTTAGTGCTTGTCAATACCGTGTCAGCGACAAGGCTTCGAATGCCCCCCCACCCCACAGGTCTACTGATGTGCTCCAAAGTCAGGCGTTCACCCATGAGCCTGCTTCAGACTTGTGCACAAAACCTGTCCTTGAGCCCTCAGTTCCCTGAGAACAGGAACTCACTGGAGCAGACACATAAGTAAACCTGCAGTTCTGGAGAGCACTAGTGGATGGACTCAAGTGTGCAGGGTATATTCAGTCCATCCTACTGGAGAGCTGCTGCTGACATAATATAGACAAGCCCTCACTTGATTTCACTGAGACTTGAATGCAAGGTTTGTTCTCTTGAATAGGGATCCTGTCTTGAATCATGGCCTTAGGGAAGGTGAATTTAGCCCTAAACTTCTGTGACTATCTACTGATGCGTTAAAATTCTCTAGTCTGCATTATACAGGGTGCTTCTACACATGATGCTTTAACACGCATTAGCCTAAGTAACTGCACATTAAAGACACATGTTTACACATGAAAAATGGCACATTAAAGCTATTCACACCTAAATCTGATACCTGCAAACGCAAGTATCAAAATTAGGCGCAAATAGTTAAAGCGCGTTAACACTGTGTGTGTGGACTGACTTGGGACTAATTAAAGTCAGCAAAGGTGTAGTTTTGTGGGAAACCCAGAAAGATGTAAATCCAGGGAAGGGATAAATCCATTAGATTGAGGTAGTACAGGTATATTCTTGGGCTGCTCCCAGCATCCTAAGTTAGTCCCAAGTCAGTCCATACACATAGAGTTAATATGCTTTAATGCCTGCATGTGTAGATGCCTTCCTCAACATGCTTAATGCACATTAAGCTAATATGCATTAAATTTACACACTGAAATGCACATGTAGACACACCCACAGAGAGTCAGATTCGATAATCATAGTGGTTCCAGGGGTGTATTAACTTTCTCCTCAATAAATTGAATAGATTAAATTCTTTACATTGAACATTTAGGCAGATTTTACATCCCTTGGATCATTCTTTTAGTTTTTCTTAGCGCGTTCTCCATTTTAATGCCTTTCATACAGTGCAATGCAGATGCCAAAACTCAGCACAGGATTGTGGTAACAGTCTGATCGGTGCTGGATACTGGGTTATACTCCCTCTTATAGTTACCCCGCTTATAAAATCCAAGGATAGTATTAGCCCATTATACTGCAAACTTGCATCCAGCTGATTACCTATCATGACCCCTGCTCCATTTTTGGAATCAAAGTTTTCCACGAGACAGGCTCCCATCCTGTAAGCAGAGCTATAATTGTGCATACTGCTGCATTAAATTAATTAATTGTGCACACAGCTTCAGTAAGCAGAAGTATAATTGTGCACACTGCTGTATTAAAAAGCATGCTCTTTGAATCTGCCCTGCCTATACCACTCTACCACTCTTTGTGTCCTCTGTGATCTTTACCAGCTAGGGTTTTACATTTTTCTTCCAGATTACTGGTAAAAATATGTAACAACACTGGGATGTGAACAGACTTTTTGTAAACAGTGCAGCAAAAATTTATTCTACCTACCGCATTCTTTTAGAGCTAGAGATTTAGGGCCTGGCTAATTTCTGTGGAATTGTTGCTGGAATGAAGAATTCACATCTAGAGACTTGCATCATTTTATTTACTTACTTCCTTGTTCACTGAGCACAGGGGGAACCGTCAACCCTAAAAGGTAATTACAAGAAGTTGAATGATCCTTGCACTTCTTGGTTATAAAGTATAGTTGATTATAAAGCACCATATCACACCATTGATTTTTAATCAAAATTTCCCAATCAAATCAGTGCAGAACTCTGCTTAAATATTACTATTCACCCAAAAAGGATATTAAAACCTGAACAATGTCCCCCACCAGAATATTTTGTAGCAGGTCAAATATTGTAATCAGCATTGCCCCATTAATTTAAATGTAACTTTACTTTAATTGCCAGCAACTCCAAACATAGATTGAACATCAGCCTCCAGGCTCAAGATACAGCTGTTATATTTTCTTTTCTTCCTTTTTTTCTCCTTTACACTAATGTAATGCTTATTTAGGAACTGCAGCCATCTGTGTGTGCTGTGGCTGGCACTGCTAAATTTGCTTTCTTCCCCTCGTTTGCTGAGACTCATGGTACATAGAGTGTTTCCCAGGACAGCAGAGACTTTCTTTGATTGACTTTTCTGATTGTGTCCTAAGAAGATGGTTTTCAGTGTTCTTTACCTTATGAAAAAAGGTTATCAGCTGAAGATCAGTGCATGTCATGCTATCCAAGACTCTCTAGGCAGATCTGTGGTCTAAGCAGAGCTGGTCAGAAATGGTTTGGGGAAGCTATCCCCCCCACTTCCCACCATGGGCAGATGATTCTGACTGGTGAAGAGCAAAATTTGTTTGTGGTAATGTGCTGGGTTTGATGGCAATTTTGTTGAGAAGCAAAGTATTACTATAAATAAGTCTTGCTTTGCATATTCTCATGACAAAATTCACTGAGAACATGTGATATTCATAATCATAACTGCTGTTACCCCTTTCCCCCAGCACGATTTCAATTTTAAGTAAAAATGGGAGAGGGAAAGAGAGAGGGAGGGAAACTATCTTAGCCCCCCACTCCACCAGCTTGTTGGTTAGGGCACTTTTCCAGCTTGTTGGAGAATCAGGTTTCATTTGCACCCCAATGAATATTTATACTAAGTAGAACAGTTCCAAAAGGAGAAATCAAAAGAGCCCTGCCCCAGCATATCCAGCAGCTGAGTGGTTGGGCACTTGCTTGGGTTGTGGGAAATCTGGGTTTAAGGCCCTGTTCTAAATAAGGCAGACCAGGGATGATTGGAACTCATGTGTCAGAGGTGAGCTCCCTGCTCATCACTTTGGGGGCAAAGAAGGGGAAGTGCCAAAAGGTCTCAGGTTCATCTACATGTGGAATGGGGGAAAAAATCCAAAATCTTGAAAATAACTGTGATCTGAGGTTGCATAACACCTCAGATAAGAAACTGGTCCAGACACAGCTCCTCGTTGGCCCAAAGAATCTCTTGGAAGTTCTTACTTTCCCAAAGGGTCTCATAGCCACATTGCCCTTTTCCTCCTGACACATGACTACCTTGTAGTGTTTTGTCTCTAGACTGTATTATGATCTGCATCAATTTCCAATAAACTCTCCCATGCCTAAGCCTTAGACCCTTTCTCTGTATGCTCTGTATCCTCCAGTTCCCAGACTTGCTGCCCTCTTTGTGGGAAAATCACTATCAGTTGCAAAGTTGTTGGAAATGGTCTTTCCATCGTGTGGTCTTGCCTGGAATCCATGGACCAAACCTTCAGCTGGGGAAAATGCTCCATTATGGTTTATACCAGCTAAGGATCTGGGCTAGAATTTAACTCTGGATTTCCTACATCAAGGCTACATCTCCCATAATGCTAACAGAAAGTGTCTGGGAGATGTGGAACATTTTTGGCCCCCACTATCTTTTCTGCTGACCCTACCCCCACCTTCCAGCTATGAATAGACAACCTTAGCAGTCCCACAGTATTACAGCCCAGGCCCTTCAACTGTATGTTCAGAGCATCCTTGGGGGGGGGTTACCCACTAAAAATCAACAAAGTCACCTTTTAAAAAAGTCTATAGCATTGGGTTTAAAAAGTCCTGTAAGATTGCTCCAGGCCACTGTTGCATATTAGCACTTGGTCTGCTGAAGGAAGATACATGCCACACTGTATTCAGGAGCTCTGTGGTGTCATTTTCCAGCTGTCAGTATGATTAATGGACATTGTGTTTTATTTCCAGCTTTATCAAATACTAATTATGTATATGATAATTCTTAGAGCGGCAGTTGCTTTTGGTTCATTCGTTCTTCTCCCTGGAGACATATCAGGGATATTTCCCCTCTTTCCTGAAATTCTGTTTTAATTGCTTCTCTTCAACCTTTGCATGTGGTTTCATGCTCTATGAGGGTCAATGTATTGATCTTATGCTTTGATAAGGTCAGCAAAGATCAGGTGTGACATTTAGAAGACATTGCTCCTCCTCAAGTGGGCTTACTCATCAAAGTGTTGTCCAGGGGACTGAGTGGGAGAGGGAAGGAAATCAACACCTTCACATATGTTATTTAGTGCACATCTGTACCACTACTTTGGGCTGCTCCCAGCATCTAGTCCATAGATGCTGACCACATACATTACAAACCTCAGAGGTCACTCCCCTCTCCTGCCCCTCCACTCTCCTAGTGGTACTGAGACCCACCTCTGGACCCACCTATGAGCTAGACATAGCCTTCTGAGGATGCTCAGAAAGAATTGATTCTGGACATGTGTGGTAATCCTATTCTGCCAGGGTAGGTGTGTAACCATGCATAAGTCCAAACATGAAAGGGACACAAGTCAGATGGAAAATAAGGCAGAGGGACCCTGACTCTTTGGCTCAGGGAGATGGGCAGTGGAAGAAAGAGTGCTCTGTCCATGCCCTCACTTCTGCATAGCCATTTTATTTAAGGACTGTTATATACTAAGTGCACCATTTAGGGCAGGATCTGCAGGCCTACATCAACATAAATCACTCTATTATGGTGTAAAGTTACCCAGTTATCCCCCACCCCAGCAGTATCTATACTTTGCTGTATATTGTGTGTGTGCATGGCTCTCTGTCCGTCTAGTTAATTTGAACTGAGTTGGGGATAGCTCTTTGTTTAGATGACTACCACTTACTTGTGGGGCACTGTGAGAGCAGCCTACAGTTCAATAAACTGGTCACCTGTCATCTCAGGATCCTGGTCTAATTTATATCTGTAACAGCTGCTGCTGGATTTGCAGCAGGGTGCAGGATCCCTGCAAAGGCAGAGTGGGAAAGTGTGCAGGAAGTTGTTGCTTGCAAAAGCTTATGCATGTTTTTTATTGGCTCCTGAGGCAGGAGAGGGGAGAGGACTCATCCCCAGGGACTCAGCCAGGCTCAGCGAAGGGAAGGAGTCCTGGGACCACAGAGCTCGGAGCCTGCCTGTAAAGTGAACCTGCCCTTAGTGATGGGGAGAAGACAACCTGGTACCCTCTGTGAGGCAGAGGGACCCGTGGCTAGGAGGGCAGGGTGTTGATCTGAGAAGGCTCTGGGAAGAGTTAACTGAGAACCAGCCTGGGGCAGGGTGGGTAATAAACCCAGGGTTGTTTCTGTTATCAGCGCAAGGGCCTATGTCTGAGGATCGGAGAAAGGTTCTTCTGGGGAAAGGGGGCACTGTGTGTTTCTTGGCAGATACCACAGACAGCTGGAGCAGAGGAGAGCTGCTCTTCCACATGAGGCTGTAGCAGAGAGCAGGACTTCCAGAAGCAGCCACACCAGCCATGGCTATTGTGCTGCCAGTATGAAGGAGAGCTGATGTTTGTGTTAACCCTGTGTGCTCCTGTTGAAATCCACTGGAGTCTCAAGGTTTAAGCTGGGGAGTTGTACTGAGGGTTTCTTTGATTCAATTTGTACAGAGTGTTTTAATTCATTGACAGTTAAATTAGTGATATCCTGTTCTGCTATTAGCCTTGTTCATATGTTGACTGTTTTGTAAATAATTAACTGTGTAAATAGCTAGACTGTATGTACTCCAGTGTGTGGGGAAACCACAAGAAGGCACTCCATGGAGAGGTGGCCCCAGCCTCAGAGGCGGGGACATTGACCGAGGCTATTTGACACCCCAGGACCCTGAATTCAGACATGGCCATGGGTAGCACCATGGCTAGGGTTACATATCTGTGTACAAAATTGGTATAAATTACACCAATTTAACTCAGCTTTGTCTGCATCCCAGCTGCCTACTATTTGCCTCTCCTGTGTATGCACAAGATACTGTAGATAGAGAAGGGGGGATCATATCCTTTGGATCAGTAGCGGGAAAGTCCCTGGCATGACCTTAAATACAGGTCTAAGATCTCAACAGCCTAACTGCTTCACATGCTTAGGTATTTAATGTTCATGTTATGAACCGTACACGAGAAGTCAAGCATGACAACAGCTTTATTGAATCTACGATATAACAGATGCTCTCCAGGGAGCTGATTAGGTAATGTGTGTTTGGATTTTACTAACAGGTGATCCATAGTGCATACTGTGGAGGAAGATGAGCTAAGCTGTCCTAGGAGAAAATGCCTTTCCAACCCAAATCGGGCAATCAGATTGATCCTAAGCATAACGTGGGGCACAGTAACCAGCACTAGGAAAGATGATTGTTTGTACTACCTTACAGCACTGACTATGTCTGGTCAATTGTGCATGAAGGAAAAACACCCTTTCTGACTTTTGCAGGTAGGCAACTAGCAGAAGAACTGAAGCTTCAGATCTGATTATAGTCGCTGTCTTAATGGAGTACTGCAAGGGTTATTAACATGGGAAAGGCAATGCAGAGTTTCCCATCCTCCTCATTGCCTGGGAAAGAAGAAAATAAAGAGATGAGTTCATGACTTCTAGGGCCAGATGGGACCCCAACAGCCATCTAAGCTCAACCCCCTGGATATGCAGGCTGTAGAATTTCTCCCAGAAGGTGAATGAAAGCATATTTTTAGAAAGATCTTTAATCTCATTTTAACAACTCTAAGAAACAGTTAATCCAACCATCTGATAAGCTCTTCCAGTGTTCAATCCACCACCCACTGCTACGAAACTGCATTTTATTTCAGGGTTGAATTTCTCAAACTTCAAATTCCAGCTCTCATCAGCAAGAATGAAAAGCCTCCTAGTATCAGATAACCTGCCCACGTGTCAGTATCTATACATAGCCATCACATCACCTCTCAACCTTTCCTTTGGTAAGCTGGACAGATTGATCTCCTTAAAGTTCATATCCAAAAGCTCATCTTCCAGTTACTGAATGATTTTTGTACCCCTGTTTTGAAGTGTCAACACTGGGGGCTAGATGCACAAAAAGCACTTTGGTATTGCAAGGATCAGCATTGATCCACCTAAATTTAGGTGCCAGGATGCTGGGTGAAATTCATAGACACAGGAGCCTAGGCTCCTATACAGCACATGTGGAGATGTATTTGTCTTAAAACAGTATCCCACACAAGCCAGCATGCTAATTTTCCAACACTAGCTAGTAGGAAATGTTCAATCCTCCTTTCTCAGCAGTCAACTAATCATAGTAGCATCTTAGTTTGCAGCCATCAGTTTCCCCAGGTATCTAAATTCTGGTGTCTTGACAATGCCAGTCAGTTCAGTACCTACCTCATGGACAAACCTCATTGTGGTTCACTTTAGTAGCCGTTCTCTGGCAATCTTGTCCAATCTGCCTGATGTTAACCAGAGCACAGTGCTTCACACACCATTCACTTTGGAGGAGGAGCAGGCTTCTGTCTCCTTTTAGTTTAGTGGCTAGAGTGCTCAGATGTGCCATGGAAGACCCGGGTTCCAATTCTGCCCCCACCTGAGAGGACTTGGCCCCAGCATCTCCCAGAAAAGTGCTCTAACCATAGTGCTACCAGATACTCTAGGAGGGTCTCTCTCATCCCCTGTGCAATCTGTTCAGTTTCCATGAAATAATTCAATATTATGGGGTGAGGGAGAGAGCAAGTGAAGAAGCCTGAATAGTTTAGGGGTTAGGAGAAACCTGGGTTCCTGTGTCAGATCCAGTAACTATTTAATTTTTCCATACAAAATCCCATGAAGCCTTCCCTAAATCACTGCAGTTCAAGACAACCTCCCATTTTGCACACATAATCTGCATCTTTTTGCCCAGTTCCATCATCTTGCATTTCATCCTGTTAAAAAATACATTCCACTGCCCCATGGTCAGGGGATTCAGGGTAACAGTACTGTCTCCTCTGCATTATTGGTTACCTTGCCAATCTGGGTGTCATCACAAAAGATTCTGTGTCATTGTCTAGATTACTGACAAAACACTCAATATTGCTGGAACAAAAGCCAGCCCATGGGACAGCTGAACAGGACCCTACATAAGGGTCCAGGTAGAATAAGCCACAAAAGATTTCTTTAGGGAGAGTACCAACTGGGCAGAGGTGAGGAGGGAGTCCATATCATTCGTATGACATTTAAGGCAGCAGCAAAGCATCTAAATCAGAACTATATGATTTCAGCCTTCTGTTGGCTTGGAAATGGTATTTAAAGGTTTAGTTTGAAAATTGGCTTATAGGCTATATATATATATATGCACAGAATAATGGTTATAGAAGCAAGGGTTAATTGATTTTTAAAGAGCTTGGGTTTCAAAGTCACACAGGTTTTCCAGCCTTCAGAAGCAGACAGGGTGTCTAGCCCAGGCAGGAAAACAATGGGTTGTGAAAATAGGGTTTTGGCTGACAACATGAGACATGTCACTGTCACCAACCAGTGACAGCCACCGAACAAGAGTCATCAGAAGTCACCAGGAGAAGAAAAAATACAAGATAAAGAGTTTTCAAAACAGAGGAGAGGAAAGCAGTTGGCATTAGCCCCTAACATCCAAAGCTGCTGATGTTGGACACTCAAGCAAAGGACTTCAAGGTGGTGTTTACATACCAGCCGGATGGATTGCTTACCTTGTGTATATTCTGGGACTAGGGAATTTGGGTAATGTATGCTGTACTTGCTTTGCCTGCATTGCTTTTATTTTCTATCACTGTGTATCAATAAACTTGCCTATTATCAACCAGCAGGAGTTGTGGTTGATCTGAGGGTTGTGCTCATCCAGAACAAAGGTATTGGGGCTGGGTTGTAAATCCAGTGCCAACACCTTCCATATCTTTCCCTCCTCCTGACTGTCAGGATAGAAAATGACTCCTCTACAGAGCTACTTATGATACTATTATTGCGGGCTTGCACTGCTAACATTTTGAGTGGATCTGAAAGTGCAAGGCAACTTCAAAACCACTGCCAGCAGTATGGATCTGACCATACACCTGGCAGAAAGCTACTGGAATGGATCCACACTCAACAGAAGGTCTCCCACTCCCAAGCCTTTCCCAAGACCCACCAGATGCTACTTGTCAGGGCGTGCACAGGATCATCCATGTTTGAGAAGAAAAAGACATATTATTAAATCTGGTCCTTTCTTCCTCCAACAAATTATTTTCTTCTATGTAGCATTTTTATGGGGCATTTATCAAAGCTTTGGAACAGATATTTTTCCTATTGAAATGCTTGGTACAGCTCCCAGAAGGGTAAACACCAAGCCTTTTAAACATGCCACCCTAATTACTGTTTTTCCTAGTTTAAATTTTAAACGTCTCAAGAGGACATCCCCATCTATCCTTTGGTGGCAATGCTGTGTTGTAGGCTAGGGACAGACATTCAAAAACCTGAGCCTGAATTGATTCAATCTTTGCAGGTTAGTCTAACCTGGCTAGGCTAAATCAGTTTTGTAACCAGATGGATATCCCACAAATGCAGGCACATGCCTGCTGTGGCTCAGGCTAGAAGCCGGGGGGCACTACAGCAGCCCTCCCTTCCCTTGTACAGGGCTGAGCTGAGGGGGGCATGGCCAGGCCCTGGCAGAACACTTTGATTAGGAAGCCCTCCTCCCCTCCCCCCACCCTTGATAACAGACTATTTGTCAATTCTGTTATCAGCATTTAAAACCCCATCAGAAAACAAAGCCTCGCTCATCACAAGCTCTTCTTAAACAGCTTTTTCTAAAGGAAAATGCATACCAGCCTTTTGTCTTCTTTACTATTCATTGATTCCAAGAAGAACACACACATCAACTGCAGATGCTTCCTCAGAAACCCAAAAGATTGCTAAGAAATTTTTTTTGCAACTGTTTAGTTGGTGTAATAAAAGATAATCAGATTTACCCAAATAACCTTGTCTGCCTTTTCCAAAGGAAGGAATGCAGGGACATTATCATCCGAGCTGTTGATTACCTCCAAAAAGCCCTAAGTGGACATTATCCTATCTGTATTACACAGCATTAGCTAGCATACCACGTGCTAGCTACAGTCTGTGCTGTGGGAGAAGGGAGGAAGGGATCTCTGTTTAAACAGCGAGTGGTGAGAGGACGGGGAGGAGGGCACAGGGAAGCCAGCAGACCCTGCTGTGCATGCAAGTCTCTGCTCAAGCTCCAGCCAGGGAGCAGAGGGGAGGCGCCAGCTCTGCTGTGGAGCAGAGAGACCTGCACAAGCCAAAGAGCATGCCTGGATGCTGGGGGTTGGTTTAGCTTAAACCAGCAAAGGGTTTGGGACAGACATTGCATAAACCATTTTGACCCAAATCAGTTAAGTCTGATACTATATTCGACCAGGTTTATTTCAATCCAGTTTCAGTCATTTTCAAATGGGTTTATGTGCAGTTAACATCTGTTCTGTTACACAGTTAAACCAGTTTCTATTCACCTAAACCAGTTTATGTGTAATGTCTGTTCTTAGCCCTAAAGCTGAACCAATGTGAATTCAGCCTGTCTTTGGTGAATATAATGGAATTACTTTGTGGAAGATTAGGGTGCTTTTGGTGTTTTGGGGCAATATGCCTTGCCATTGAAGCAAGGTTGATTGTGCAGTTTTAGGAACAAGCTAGGCAACGACTTGTGTGGCTGGTTTGGATAAGGATGATCCTGCCTTGGGCAGAGGGTTAGAGTAGCTGGCGATCCTGTCTAGTCCTACCTTTCTATGGGAGAAGTTACACATTAAACTTAGCATGTACTAAGGGCACTTAAAACATGAGCATTGTTAACTTGTGCAAAATGCCCTCTGAGCATCAAAAAGTTAAGTCACTTCAGGTTAACTCTGGGCCGTGCTCCTTAGCTCATGTTATGGTAACTTCAGTCTGTTCCATGGAGACAAAATGAGCAATTTTCAGTCCTCCAGCATCCCAGGATGCACCACTCCCTATGCCCACCCCCACCCTTAGCAGGGATAGAGCTAAGGTGTCCTGGCTCCTAACCATGCCCCTGCTCACTAGCCCTCACAGCAAGTCAGAGCTATGCAGGCACAAAACAATATTAACCTTTAATGTGCCACTATTAACAGCACGTTCAAACTTTCACAGATTTATTATGGTCTCAGTGTAGTGTGTAACATCACCCTATGGCTCTATGATTCTTTGGGAGGCCTCAGACCAGACTAGCATAAAAGCCCCAGTTAAGCTAGGTTATAACTGAAGTGCAAATCAATTTGCAATCAGATTTTAAAGTAGATTAGGTTAATATGCTTATTAACAATAATTTGCCTGGCAAGAGGGGGCTGGTCTAAACTATTCTTAAAATGGTTTACAGACAATGGGTTAGACTCTCAGACCCAGCTGCATTTAGAACGTGATACCAGAGAGAGCACAAAATGTGATTCGGAGCCACATTTAGACTCCTCCACTATTGTGTCTGTCTGTGTTTGATCACTGATGTGGATGACAGCAGCCTTGGGGCTGCTCTAGTTGACAGTATGCCCAGCTACCCATAGCATACAGGGAGTCAGGGATCACCAGGGTGTAGGGATGCTCCCCCTTGTATCTTGGCCAAGGCACCTGAAGTACAGATTGAGACAGGAGCTACTTTACCGCTAAACTTCTCTTCTCCCCACTGCACAACACTGGAGAATCCTCAGGGACTTACATTTGCATGGTCAGTTGGAGCAGCGGGCCAGGACCTAGGTCTGTGTTTTTAAACTTTTAAAAAATAGTTTTGCCAAGCATAGCTTCAGTGTTGCTCCTGATATAGTA